GCTAAAGCGATTCTCTTGTCTCAGCCTCCCAAGTAGCTGGGACTATAGGTGCCGGCCACAACACCAGGCTATTTTTTTTGTTTTTTTTTGAGACAGAGTCTCACCATGTTACCCTCAGTAGAGTGCCTTGGCATCACAGCTCATAGCAACCTCAAACTCTTCGGTTCAAGTGATTCTCTTGCCTCAGCCTCCCAAGTAGCTGGGACTACAGGCGCCCGCCACAACGCCCAGCTATCTTCTGGTTGCAGTTGCCATTGTTTTTGGCAGACCCAAGCTGGGCTCGAACCTGCCAGCTCCAGTGTATATGGCTGGCACCCTAACCACTGAGCTACAGGTGCTGAGCCCACCCGGCTATTTTTTTTTGTTGTTGCAGTTGTTTAGCTGGCCTGGGCTGGGCTCGAATCGACCACCTTTGGTGTATGTGGCTGGTGCCGTAGCCACTGTGCTATAGGTGCTGAGCCACAAGTTGGATTTCTTTACAGCCAGGGATACAAAGGTTTTGATTCTGCTGCCACCCCCACTCAGGCAGCAGTCGTGTCCTAACCGTTCAGTTCTGGCTTCATCTCTGTAGCTCCCTGGTCCTTTCCTCCCACACCTGCATGGCATGCACATGCAACCAGGGTCTTCATGCTGTCCATATTTTCTAGCTTTGTAGCTATTGGGTATCTGTTTAGGGGTTATTTTAGGACCTGTGTCTAGCTGACCTAGCCCAGCCGTGAGCACATGATAAGGAAGAAAAATAGATTATGAGATAAAAGTGAAAGGGTCCACCCTGGACTCTTTTTCCCTCTTTCTCTGCCTAGTTCCCAGATGAAACCTTGAGGAGTGGAGAGCTACTGAACATGATCGTCGCTGTCATTGACTCTGCACAGGTACACACTGAGCTGTGACACCCCCAAAGAGGCCTGGAAGGCAGGGCTGGGGAGTCCCAGCCTCTGCTATCTGTGGACTGCAGACAGGGCGCTGGGCCCCACAAGCACTGCCTCTGGGGTCTGCCTTACTCTTCATGTTCTTTAGGTGCTCCTACTCCACAGAGAAAGCTGAGGGGGGTTTGTAGCTCTGAACTGGATGCCTTTCCCATGGCTTAGATTGAAAATGGTTAGATCATTTCTACTTGACCTTTCCACCTGCAGGGTTCCCCAAGAGGCTGTAGCTTTGCTTGGGTCTATCTTATGCCAGTTTCCATACATAAAAGAGGAAGTCTAGGCTCGGCTCAGTGGCTTAAATCCTAGCACTCTGGGAGGCCCCAGGGGCTGGATTACCTGAGCTCAGGAGTTCAAGACCAGCCTGACAAAAAGCAAGACACCGTCTCTATTAAAAATAGAAAAAAACTGTAGTCCCAGCTACTTGGGAGCCTGAGGCAAGAGAATTACTTGAGCCCAAGAGTTTGAGGTTGTTGTGAGCTGACACCATGGCACTCTACTGAAGGGAACAAAGTGAGACTCTGTCTCAAAAACTAAAAATAAAAAATTAGCTGGGCATGGCAACGTGTGTCTGGAGTCCTAGCTACTTGGAAGACAGGGACAAGAGAATCACTTGAGCTGAGGAGTTGGAGACACAGTGAGCTGCGGTGACACCACTGCACTCCAGCATGGCTGACAGAGTGAAACCTTTGTCTAGCACTCAAGTCCTTCTTCCTTCCCCACCCCAGCCCATACCTATGTGGAGAGCATAGCCTCCTGGAGCCCTCCCTTGTCCTCAGACCCACAGCAAGGCCAGGTAGTGGAACTCATTGTTCTCCCTCTGCTGTCAGGGTGTGAGTGATACTTTTCCACAACTATGTCTGCCCAAAGTAGGTCTGTGGTTCCCAGACCTGTTGCTACCTTACCAGCCCCTCTGTCCTTCAGGGTCTGCAGCATTCATCATGTGCTGTCTCCCCAGCCCTTCTGCTTTCTCTGATTTTGTTCCCGTATGCACTCTCCTATACCTCTCTCCATACTGGCCTCGTCCTGCTCATGGGTTCTGCCTTCTTCTGCCTCCTTAGCTCCAGGAGCTGGTCTGCCATGTGATGATGGGGAACCTGGTCATGTTTCGAAAAGATTCAGTCCTCAACATTCTCAGTAAGTGACCAAACCTTTCAGGCAGCTGAAAGAGGAGATGGAGGTGGGACATCAGCTCATTTTTCACCAGCAAGAAAGCTGGCTCTGGAGCTGAGAGGTCAGGGGGGTAGAACATCACAACACCCTGCTTTGTGGCCATGGACATTATCTCTGGATTTGCTTCTTGCTCTATAAATTGGAAGGACTTACTTTTGCCCCTCTAACCTCTGGGCTGATAGGAATACAGAAGCTGTGATAACACTGGGAATCAGCCTTGCGTGGGGAGGGAAAGGTCCTACATTTAGGGTCACTGTCCCTCCCCCTATACCATGGTGCCATCCCTGCTTGGGGTGCTGGTGGTCAGTGGATTAGCTTGTGGTGGGGAGCAAGCAGGGAGAGAGGGAGAAAGGGAGTAGGAGGGAGAGAGGTTGGTTTTGTCTCTTGCAGTCCAAAGCCTGGACTGGGAAACCTTTGAGCAGTACTGTGCCTGGCAGCTCTTTTTGGCCCACAACATCCCCCTGGAGACCATAATCCCTATCCTTCAGCACCTCAAATACAAGGGTGAGTAGGGTTGTGGGTTGGAAGCACAAAGGAGAAGACAGGGCCTATGCAGAGCAGGCTCTCCAAATGAGCCCGGCAGGCCTCTGAGCCAGGACAGCACAGGGGCTCAGGCTGGGTGGACAGTGCAGGGGCTTGGACTGGGTGGACAGCCCAGGGGCTGGGGGAGCTTGGGCTGGGTGGACTGGGGCAGGGCTTTCGCTGGCTCCTTGTTGAAGACTGCCCTTGCTCCCTCCAGTGGCTCTTGGTTGAGGGATGAGAGAGGTGCCAAACTTTTTTCCTGGAATCGTACATTCCCCTCTCCTTCCCTCGCAGAGCACCCAGAGGCCCTGTCCTGCCTACTGCTGCAGCTCAGAAGAGAGAAGTGAGTTCCGCCCCTGGGGTCACTTTGGCCCTCAGTCCCAATGCCAAGAGATACTGCAGTATAAAGGGCTATCCTGCTCCTTTGCCATGTTTTTTCCTGTCCTTGATGTCTGCTTATATTGCCCTTCCCCTAGTGTGACTTTCAGATAAGCAGCTTCCAGGGATCTGGGTTTCCTCTGACTTAACTCCCTGCCACCATGATCTGCCCTTGGGGGTGGGAGGGTACAACCCTATTTCCTGCTGCCACAGTGATTCTGATCTTGGCCTGGTGGCTCCTGCTCCCCTCCCCACACTCAGGCAGGCCAAGAGAAGGGAGGGTCAGAGTGCAGGGACCACACAGAGCAGAGCCAGCTGCACCTGCTGTGCTCCCTGCCAGGGTAGGTATAAGAGGGACGGCAGAAGACCCCCACTGCCACCACAGGAGCTTTAGCTGCAGGTCCAGATGATGGGACAATGGCTGTGTATCTTTCCGTTCCTCCCATTTTGCCTTCCTTCCACCTTCTTGCTCTCGCTTGAGAGGCTAGAGGTGGTGCAGTGTCCTAGAGGAAGCAGGAAGGTAGAGAGCTGTGTGGGCCTGTGGCTCCAGAGCCTCTTCTCCTGCCCTTCCTCAAGCTGGACACCAGGTTGGCCCATGGCTCTCACAGGGTGGGAGGAGCAGGCTATTCTCCTGGTCCATTTCCTGACTGTTTAGAGGATATAGGGAGATTTGGCATGGTCCTCCTTCTTGGAACAAGCACACAGCTTCTAACACCAAATAACTGAAATCTCATTTCTTACCTCCTGGTTTCTGCAAAAGATGAACCCAGGCCTTCCTTGGCCCAGAGAGAAGAGGGAGAGGGATGTGGGAGTAGGAAGCTGTAGTGGGGCTGGGGGCAGGCATGGAGAACAGAGTTTGCAAAGTGAGTGAGGGGAATTGAGCAGTCCCTGTGGCTGTGTTGTGAGTGGCTCCCGCACCTGTCCATAGGCCCAGTGAGGAGATGGTGAAGATGGTGCTGAGCCGGCCCTGCCACCCTGATGATCAGTTCACTACCAGCATCCTGCGGCACTGGTGCATGAAGCACGATGAGCTGCTGGCCGAGCATATCAAATCCTTGCTGATCAAGAACAACAGCCTTCCTCGCAAGAGACAGAGGTGGGTGTGGCCCCGTGACCCACAGGGCTGCCCAGCATTTCCTGCCCACTGTCAGCAGGCTTTCCCAGGGGTAGTCTGCTGTGACTGCTGCCTAGTGACAGTGAGCTGCTGTGGGCCCAGCCTGGCCTATGAGTGACATCTTGTGGTCTGAACCCACGTGGCCTGCAGGACCATTGAGGCCTCATCTCTTCCTTTGGTACCCCTGTGGCTGGGCCTCTGTGTTTTGTGCATACCTCCCTTGCCCTACCCGAGCCTGCAAAGCCTGCCTATCCCCCTCCCTGTGTGGGTTGCCTCTGTCATAAGGAGGAACTCTGGTAGTGTGCAGGACTATAGTGGGGTGGAAGGTGTCTTGCATTCCTGGAACTCTCCCTAGCTCAGACTACTCTCATGCTTTTTCTGGTGCAGCTTGAGGAGCTCCAGCAGCAAGTTGGCCCAGCTGACTCTGGAGCAGATCCTGGAGCACTTGGATAACCTGCGGCTCAACCTGACTAACACAAAGCAGAACTGTATGTGTGTGGTGCTGTCCTGGCCCAGACCACCCTTGGGGCCAACCTGGGGTTGGGGCATGATGCCCAGGGCTAAAACCCAAACCTGTTGGAGAAAACCTTTGGATACTGCTGAATAAGCTCCCAGGCATCTAATTGTTTTCCCTTCCTGCTTTCCCTGTCTTCTCCCTCTAGTTTTTAGCCAGACCCCAATCCTCCAGGCGCTGCAGCATGTCCAGGCAAGCTGTGATGAAGCCCACAAGATGAAGTGAGGCTCCTTCCACTTTTGGTCTTGAAAAATAGTGGGGAGGAGGCCTAGGAGACAGGAGGCCTGCTGGTGACACAATTAGTGATTGAAGAAAAACAGAGGACTGGGCCTGGCAGCAAAGAAGAAGACAGCAGGTGGCCAGGACCAGCAAGCCCCCACACAGAGCTCACTCTCCTTTCCCATAGGTTCAGTGACCTCTTCTCCCTGGCGGAGGAATATGAAGACTCTTCCACCAAACCACCCAAGAGCCGGCGAAAAGCAGCTCTGTCCAGCCCTCGAAGTCGGAAGAATGCCACACAGCCCCCCAATGCGGAAGAGGAGTCTGGCTCCAGCAGCGCTTCGGTGAGGACCCAGCCAGGATGCAGGGAAGCAGCAGCAGCAGCGGTTGTGGGTAAGGCTGGAGCTAGCAGCTGCCCAGGCTGTTGATCCTCCTCCCCTCCCAATCTCTTTCAGGAGGAAGAAGACACAAAGCCGAAGCCCACCAAGCGGAAACGAAAAGGGTCCTCCGCAGTGGGCTCTGACAGTGACTGAGGCCCTGTGGTCCCCACCCCAGTTGGAAGGCTCTCTACTCTTTGCTGAGTCAAAGGCTGATAGGGGCTAGCTCAGCCTGAGACACTGCCCTCAAGCCCTGCCCTGCCCCTCAGGTGTCCAGCCCCTCATACTGCTGCCCCCCTGATGTTTGGGTTCTCACTGAAGCCAGAGGCTGTGCAAAGTAGGACCATGTTGGAAGTCCTCAGCCCCTGGTTCCTCCCCAGTCTCCCAAAGAACCATTTCAACAGAGAAAGGAGCCACTGGCTGGAGATACTGGGGTGAGAGCAGATGGTCCCTGAGTTTGGTGCCTTTCCTGCTCCCCATGGGTCTTGATCTCTGAACAGGCATTTGATAGTCACTCTCTGTGCAGTGTGAAGTGGCTATCTAATCTGGCCTTGCCAGCCCACCCCTTCCTAACCAGAAGCATTCAGGAAAGAACCTGAGAGGGTGGTCACAGCCCCTGTGGTGTGCCCTGGAGGCTTGGGTTGGCCTGAGAGGTTGGCAAGCTGGGCCAGAGCAGGGGAGAATTTCAGGGGCAAGTTCCACAGAACTGTCAAATGGTCCCATTTCCTTGGGTCTTTTTTCTTTTCTTTTGGCAGAGATAATTGAGTCTTAAAAGTTGTTTTTAAATGACAATAAAACTAGCCAGCACTGTTTTCTGTGCTGGAGTTTCCACAGGCATGTCTAGGTGGCACCTACTTGAAGTCTCACATCTCCCTTTTCTCTTCCCTGCTCTGCCCCTTCCCCCTTTTGTCTAGAGTAGGAAGAACTTGGCTTTGTTCCCTCAGCCATCCTTCTGTTACTGGAGGTAGAAGCCAGGCACTGACCTGTCTACGCAGAAACTGATGCTGGCACCGTCTCCCTGTAGGCTGAGGTCTGTCTGTGACCATTTCTCCTCAAGAGACAAGAGGCTTCCAAAAGCCAGTATTTGTCTTGTTCTAATTTATTGAATCTGTGAGATCCAATTGCTGGAGAGCTAACTGCTCAACAGGGAAGGGATGCTGCACATTGGCTCCAAGGACAGAAGTGTGGCTAGTGGAAAGTTCAGATCCTAGGGCTAGGGGCTACTTCCTCCCACAGGATGGCCCCTTGTTGGTCACTGTGCCAGCAGAAGGCTTCCTTGGCTATGGCTTTGTGTGCTTTGTGTCCCCAAGGAGGTTGGCCATGAACTGAGGAGAAATGAGGAAAGTTTGGGCAAACTGCAGGCAGCTCCTTTTCGGCCTTCAAATTTGTCTGTTTACAGAATCCAGGTTCTCTCCTTCCTCAAAGCTGCTACTACTTTGAAACTCTTCAACACCAGAGGCATCTTTTTCTTTCCTCTCTCCTTATTCCTCTGCTTCAATTAAAATCAGAATGGAAAGCTCTCCTGGCTGGTCCCAATTATTGTACCCTTACCCAAAGGGAAGGGCCTCAAGCGCCTTGGCCCCTCCAGATATCTGGCAGTCTGGGCCTCCACCTTTCCCCTACTCAGTTCTTGGTCCCCACCCCTTCCCTGGAATTGCTGCTTCTGTTGGCAGCTGGCGGGAGGGTATGCGTCTGGTTGTCTTGCCCTGACTTGCAGAATCAAATGGGCAAGGGGCCAAAGTCTTCAGTCTCTTTGGGGAGAGAGTAATGGGACCCTCCCATCAGGGTGAAAAAGGTATTGCAGGAAAGGTGGACTATGATCTAAGCGCCTTGGCTCTCAGAACTGGACTCCAGAGTTCAGTTAGCCAGATGCCTAAACTAACCAAGGGGAGAACTTAATATGAGAAAGACTGGGATCTTGTCGCAGCCGGGAGGGAGCGCGCTAGGGCGGAGCGTCGGCTGTGGGGAGGGCCGGGAGTCTGGGCTACCCCCGACGCGCGCGCCTCCTGGGCTTCTGCCCTCCTCCCATGGGGAGTGGTGAGGCCGGGGTGGGAAGGGGCGTGTGCCAACGCGCGCGCTCCCGGGAGGGAGAGGTCTCCCTGCAGGAACGAGTGGCCCCCATAATCCGGAGGGGGCTTTCAGAGGTGTTAGGTCGTGAGCGGCGGAGGTCGGACGGTGCCGACAGTAGCCAGCCCATGGCTGTCCTCCTGCTGCTGCTGCTGCTGCTGCTGCTGCCGCCGCTGCTGTTGCTCAAGCGGCGCCTCTGGCCGCAATTGCGCTGGCTTGCGGCAGACTTGGCTTTCACGGTGCGCGCCGTGCGCTGCAAAAGGGCTCTTAGAGCTCGCGCTCTGGCAGCGGCCGCCGCCGACCCGGAAGGTCCTGGAGGGGGCTGCAGCCTGGCCTGGCGCCTGGCACAACTGGCCAGGCAGCGCCCCGCGCACACCTTCCTCGTCCACGGCGGGCAGTGCTTCAGCTACGCGGAGGCGGAGCGCGAGAGTAACCGGGCTGCGCGCGCCTTTCTGCGCGCCCTGGGCTGGGAAGGGGGGCCAGGTGATGGCGGCGCGAGGAGCGCTGGGGAAGGCGAGCAGGCGGTGCTTGCGGAGCGTGGCGGGAATGGGGCAGCCAGTGGAGGAACCGCGGTCCCGCTGGAACCTGGGGTGACCGTGGCGCTGCTCCTCCCCGCCAGCCCAGAGTTCTTGTGGCTGTGGTTCGGGCTGGCAAAGGCGGGTCTGCGCACAGCCTTCGTGCCCAGCGCCCTGCGCCGGGGCCGGCTGCTGCACTGCCTCCGCTGCTGCGGCGCGCGCGCGCTTGTACTGGCGCCAGGTAAGGCCGGAACGCCCAGCCGAATGGGGCAGGGCCAGCTACGGAAATGGGCCTGTCTGGGGTCGGAGAGGTCTGGGTCCTGTCGCCCGGGCGCTGTTTACATGGGGTTCCGAAGTGAGTGGGGATGTGAGTCTCATGCGAAGGCATAAAGCTGAATCTTTGGTTCCCAGGGAACTCCGGGTCCCTAACCCGTGATGGGATGTCTACACTCTTTACCCTCCCCCAGAGCAGTGTGGATGGGAACCGGGGTGCACAGGTGGCAGGTGGAAGGCTTCTGGGGAGCAGCCAAGCCGCAGAGCTATACTTTCCTGCCCCTCCTAGAGTTTCTGGAGTCACTGGAGCCTGACCTGCCCGCCCTGAGCGCCATGGGGCTCTGCCTGTGGGCTGCCGGCCCTGTCACCCATCCCGCAGGGATCCGCGACTTGCTGTCTGAAATGTCGGCTGAAGCTGATGGGCCAGTGCCGGGACGCCTCTCTGCTCCCCAGAGCATGACTGACACGTGCTTGTACATCTTCACCTCGGGCACCACCGGTGAGAGCTAAGGCACCATGCTTTCCTCCCAGAGAGGAAGGCAGGGTCTGGGAACAGGGCCAGCAGAAAGAATGAGGATCCAGGGAACAGTTCTCTCCAGTCCTCCCACCCCTCGTCTTTCCACCACCTCCAAACTGCTCACGCTTCTGGGATAGCCTGCCTCCTGTCCTCAGTCCACTAGATCTCTGCCTCTTTCTGTGGGAAACCTAGCAGGAACAGACCGGGGATAGCGTTTGGAGCTCAGACTTCCATCTGTGATCTCACCCCTAACCACCACCCTACAGGTCTGCCCAAGGCTGCTCGAGTCAGTCATCTGAAAATCCTACAATGCCAAGGCTTCTACCAGCTGTGTGGCCTCCACAAGGAGGACGTGATCTACCTTGCTCTCCCACTCTACCACATGTCTGGCTCCCTGTTGGGCATTGTGGGCTGCCTGGGCATCGGTCAGTCTCTCCATCACCACCCCCATTCATTCCTGCAGCAAACATTTACAAAGGACATACGGTGGTGTGAGTCCTTCAGGGCAGAGGGGCCAGAGGAAGGAGAGGCAGGGCCTACTCTTGAGCTTTGTCTAGTGAGAAAAGTCACAGCTCAGACCTAGCAACCAGGGCAGCCCAGGGTTCACAGCAAGGGAAGGGTTGCAAGTGTCTTCCAGAAAGAAGCAGGTAGGGGAGAGGTGGGACTTGGGGGCAGGGGTATGGAGGATGGGCTATGTGGGGCTGGAAAGTGAGGAGAGGGCAGTAACTTCTCCAAGACAAGTTGTGGGTCTGCCCACACATCCTTCCCAGAGAATTGCACTATTGGAAGGGGGGTGGGGATCCCCTGTCTTCTCATATCCTCACCTTCTCCCCTTCCCACTTATGGCAGGGGCCACAGTAGTGCTGAAGTCCAAGTTCTCAGCTGGTCAATTCTGGGAGGACTGCCAGCAGCACAGGGTGACGGTGTTCCAGTACATCGGGGAGTTGTGCCGATACCTTGTTAACCAGCCCCTGGTGCGTGGGCATAGTTCCTGGCACAGCCACTGACACAGGGCTGGGCCACAGGAAGCCGGGTACTTGACAAGATCAGAGACAGTTATTGGGAGTTGCAAGGAGAAGATTGGGAGCAGGGGATATGGGCATCTGAAGGAGGTCAGGAGGGCTGGGGGATGGGAATAAGACTTCCCTGTAGAGAACTGGCTCCTCTGTTAAAGCTCCTGCCATTCCTCCATTCATCTCAGAGTGAGGCAGAACGTGGCCATAAGGTCCGGCTGGCGGTGGGCAGTGGGCTGCGCCCAGACACCTGGGAGCGTTTTGTGCGGCGCTTTGGGCCCCTACGGGTGCTGGAGACATACGGGTTAACAGAGGGCAATGTAGCTACGTTCAACTACACTGGACAGCAAGGTGCAGTGGGGCGCACCTCCTGGCTTTACAAGGTGAGGGCAGAGAGGACACTGAGGACCCCTAAGGTGGGGGCCTGGCAGGAAAGGGCTCACGCAACTGAAATGACCTGGTGCCTGGGTCTCCTTTCCTCCAGCACATCTTCCCCTTCTCGTTGATTCGTTATGATGTCACTACAGGGGAGCCAATTCGGGATACCCAGGGGCACTGTGTGGCTACATCTCCAGGTTTGCATTCAGGTGGTATGGTTGGGCAGGTGAGGCTGGCAGAGGAGGACTGGAATTGGGAAATGGGGCAGGATGGAGACAGGAGGCTCTGGGTGAGGTGGGCAGCCACCCCTGACCCCAGTTACTTTGCCAGGTGAGCCAGGGCTGCTGGTGGCTCCAGTAAGCCAGGAGTCCCCATTCCTGGGCTATGCGGGGGGTCCAGAGTTGGCCCAGGGAAAGCTGCTGAAGGATGTCTTCCGGCCTGGAGATATTTTCTTCAACACTGGGGATCTATTGGTCTCTGATGACCAAGGCTTTCTTCGTTTCCATGATCGTACTGGAGACACTTTCAGGTATCTGTTCATAGCTTTTTTTTTTTGAGACAAAATCTCACTTTGTTGCCCTTGGTACCTTGGTGGAGTGCCATGGTATCTCATAGTAAACTCAAATTCTTGGGTTCAAGTGATCCTCTTGCCTCAGTTTTTCATTTTTTAGTAGACCTGTCTCACTCTTATTCAGGCTGGTCTTGAACTGAGCTCAAGCAATTCACCTGCCTGTGCCTCCCAGAGTGCTGGGATTACAGGTGTAAGACACCACACCTGGCCTGTCCATAGCTTCTTGACATGTCACCACCTGATATCTGTGACCCAAACCTCCACTCCCCCATCTCTCACCTCAGCCCTCATCTAATCTCTCATTCTTTTTTATTTTTTATAATGTTTTTATTTGGATTTGTTTGTTTATTTATTTGCAGTTTTTGGCCAGGGCTGGGTTTGAACCTGCCACCTCCAGCATATGGGGCTAGCCCCCTACTCCCTTGAGCCATAGGCGCCGCCCCTAATCTCTCATTCTTGGACCTCCTAACCCTCTAATCACCCTCTAACCCACTAATCTGGCACCTAAACTCTGACCTCTTTAGCTCCCTGCCAAGCCCTCAAAGCCCTGACCTACTTCCCAAGTTTCAAGTCTCTGCTCTCCAACAGGTGGAAGGGGGAGAACATAGCCACAACTGAGGTGGCAGAGGTCTTCGAGGCCCTGGATTTTCTTCAGGAGGTGAATGTGTACGGAGTCACTGTGCCAGGTGCCTAGGCATAGAAGATGGGGGAGATGGTAATGCTGGGCATAGGAACGTGAGGCCTCCATGGGGTCAGGCCTGGAGTGGCTCACTCTGGCTCCCACCCTCACCAGGGCATGAAGGCAGGGCGGGAATGGCGGCCCTAGTTCTGCGTCCCCTCTACTCTTTGGACCTGGTGCAGCTCTACACTCATGTTTCTGAGAACTTACCACCTTATGCCCAGCCTCGATTCCTAAGGCTTCAGGTAACCAGCCCCTCCCACTCAACCCTGCCCTACTCACCTACTCCGTATGTCAACTTTGGGAGCTTCATGGCTCCCAAGCTCCAGGAAGGGCCCCACCACATAGTCTTTCCAGACACACGCTCTGTTCTTTGCCTCTTCTTTCCCTGTACCCCTCCTCCTCCCAGCCTGGCTCCTTCTGTTCCCTGTCACCTCTTCTGCTAAACTTGACCTTATAACCCCTTTCCCTAGATTGGTTTCTTAACAAAATTTAGACCACTCTCTTGAACCCACTGGGAAGAACACTTTTTCCTTCAACCCCTTAACCTCCTCTCCCAGGAGTCTTTGGCCACCACAGAGACCTTCAAACAGCAGAAGGTTCGGATGGCAAATGAGGGCTTTGACCCAAATGTGTTGTCTGCCACCCTCTACGTTCTGGACCAGGCTGCGGGTGCCTACCTGCCCCTCACATCTGCCCGGTACCGGGCTGTCCTGTCTGGGGACCTGCGAATCTGAGACCTTCTGTATCCAGTGTGCCTGGGGGTATGTTGTGGGATGGGGGTATTGCAGGTGCCCCAGGGGCTGTCAGAGATCTTTCATATACTAGGTTTGTGGTAATAAAGGGTCTGGAGCCTGTCTGGCTCTTTCTGATTTGTCATCTTTGTCCGCCTATAGAACTGCTTCTCTCCAGGAAGTGGTTCCTGGCGTGGAGCCAAAGGTCCCTGCATTCCTGCCCTGACTTTATGTGGCCTGAACCCAGGGTCCCGACCTTGGGTGATTTTCCTCTCAGATGAACCTGCTTGAATCTTTTCCTTGGAGAACCCCTGGTGACTTAGCATCTGTGCTCATGTATATCTGCTCCCATTTTAATCCCTGAGTGTTGTCTTGGGAGTTGGAGGAGGGGGTAGGGGACTTAGTACTAATGGCAGAGGTGGACTGAGGCAGGAAGAAACACTGCCCTCTCCCATGGCCAGCTGCAATCCCCTGCCCTTTACAACTCTCTGAGGAGCCAGTTGGTGAAGGGGGAAGGGTGGGGCCACCAGCCTCAGGCAGGTCACTTTCTCCTCCTGCCTGATGGCTGTCAGACATTCCCAGAAAGAGCAGTTCAGATGCCCACAGGTGCTGGTGGAATTTGAAGTCCCCACAGGGATCAGGGTGCAAGTGTGAATGTTTTGGCCATTCCTTGTCCCTGAATGAGGTGTTAAGAAAGTTCATCAAACACCCTGCGGCCTGAGGAGCTCATGCTTGTAATCTCAACATTTTGGGAGGCTAAAGTGGGTGGATCACCTGAGCCCAGGAGTTTGTGAGACCAGGACAGAGATTCCCTCTCTACTAAAAATAGAAAAACTAGCTGGGTGTTGTGGTGAACAGCTGTAGTCCCATCTACTGGGGAGGCTGAGGCAAGAGGAGCACTTGGGCCCAGGAGTCTGAGGTTGCTGTGAGCTATGGCATTAGGGCACTGAACCCAGGGTGACAGAGTGAGACTCTGTTTCAGAAAATAATAATAAAAATAAAAAAAATTATAAAACTCCTGCTTATCCTAGGAATCATAGTTTCCTACTGTTTTGAGTTGAGCCTTATAATTTTCTACTTTCCTTTGGATGTCTTTCCCTTTCCAGCCCCATTCTCCAACATGAGGGGTGAGGTCAGAGGACATGCCCGTCACCAAGTGTGGATCCCTATTGCCAGCACCCTGTCCCTGTACAACACACCCCCTTCCACCCCAAGCCTCTTTCCGCCTCACTGATAGACAGGCAGAAGCATATGCTGACAAGTATAGGGTACGTCTTCCCACAGTGACCAGTAAATTAGAGGTTTAACTCTTTTTTTTTAAACTTTATTTAAATTAACATGAGGGTACAATATTTAGGTTACATTGTTCTCACTTCCAGAGCAAAGTTCCAATTGTAGAAGAGCCCCTCACCCAGGGGGCGTGTTACACACTTCACAATGTGCACATTAGGTGAGATCCCAGGATTTAGCTCTTTCTGCTCACCTCTCTCATCTGCCCCAGAAGTGTGCGGTAGTTAGGGTGTTCCCAGGTGTGGGGTGGAGAGGTGGCCAGTGGTTGGCATTGGGGCATCCCCTGCAGTTGTTCTCGCATCACCCTAACTCTGAGCCCAGAGTCCCCAAGTCCCTTAGCCAAGTGACTATCTCCTCCCTTGAGGAATTACACACCAAACTTTTCTCCCCACCCTTCCTCTTTCATTTGGCCTAAATCCACACTGCTGGATATGGTAGTTGCTGGCCATGTGTGGCTATTGAGCACTTGAACATGGCTACCCTATAGTGAGATGTGCCGTAAATGTCCCTAACATACGAAATTGTAAAGGTATGGTACAAAAAAATTTAAATATTCAGTCATAATTGTTTTACATTGCTTAAATGTTGAAATACAAATACTTTGGATGCATTGTGTTAAACAAAATGTAGGGTGCCCCAAAGTCATAAATAGGGAAAATGGGAGACTGTAGCTAAAAATGTACCTTTATTGGCCAGACATGGAGGCTCACACCTGTAATCCTAGCACTCTGGGAGCCAAAGGGGGTGGATTGCTTGAGCTCAGGAGTTCAAGAAGAGCTTGAGCAAGAGTGAGACCCTGACTCCTAAAAATAGAAAAACAGGGGCAGCGCCCATAGCTCACTGGGTAGGTTGCCGGCCACATACATGAGGCTGGCAAATTCAAACCTGACCAGGGGCAGCTAAAAAACGATGACAACAAAATAAATAGCCGGGCGTTGTGGTGGGCACCTGCAGTCCCAGCTACTTGGGAGGCTGAGGCAAGAGAATCACTGAAGCCAGGAGTTTGAGGTTGCTGTGAGCTGTGACGCCATGGCACTCTACCCAGAGCAACGTAGTGAGACTATCTTAAAATAATAGGCTCGGCGCCTGTGCCGCTAAGGCGCCAGCCACATACACCTGAGCTGGTGGCTTTGAATCCAGCCTGGGCCCACCAAACAACAATGACGGCTGCAACCAAAAAATAGTCAGGCTTTGTGGCGGTTGCCTATAGTCCAAGCTATTTGGGAGGTGGAGGCAAGAGAATCGCTTGAGCCCAGGAGTTAGAGGTTGCTGTGAGCTATGACGCTACAGCACTCTACCAAGGGTGACATACTGAGACTCTGTCTCAAAAATAATAATAATAAGTAAAAAACATAGGAATTAGGTTTTCCATTTACTACAATCTTTTATTTTTCTTTGAGACAGAGCCTCAAGCTGTCCCCCTGGGTAGAGTGCTGTGGCATCACAGCTCACAGCAACCTCCAACTCCTGGGCACAAGCAATTCTGCCTCCGCCTCCCAAGTAGCTGGTACCACAGGCGCCCATCCGCCACAATGCCCGGCCATTTTTGGTTGCAGCAGTCATTGCTGTTTGGCGGCCCGGGGCTGGATTCGAACCCGCCACCTTAGGTGTATGTGGCTGGCGCCTTAGCCGCTTGAGCCACAGATGCGGAGCCTCCATTTACTACAATTAAAATGGTTGGCCTACAAAAACATCAATTCAGGCTCGGCACCTGTGGCTCAAGCGGCTAAGGCGCCAGCCACATACACCTAAGGTGGCGGGTTCGAATCCCTAGTCCGGGCCCGCCAAACAACAATGATGGCTGCAACCAAAAAATAGCCGGGCGTTGTGGCGGGCGCCTGTGGTCCCAGCTGCTTGGGAGGCTGAGGCAGGAGACTCCCTTGAGCCCAGGAGTTGGAGGTTGCTGTGAGCGTGATGCCACAGCACTCTACCCAGGGGGACAGCTTGAGGCTCCGTCTCAAAAAAAAAAAAAAAACCATCAATTTAAATACAACTAAATGGGATATGGGATCATTTACCAAGATGCACTAGGTTGGTTCTGAGGTGGTGAGTCATCTTTCTCAAGAGGTTGGTCAGCCAGGATGGGACGCTGGAGGGAGGGGCCCTACAACGTTCTCAGCTTTGAGCCCTCCCTGGGGGTAGTTTAGGTCATGTGTGCTTGACAAACAGAAGAAAAAGCAAAGAGGCACCAGATCTCAAATCAGTCTCAAAGGCAGGAGTCAACAAGCTAAGCGGCCTGTCTTTGAACAGCCATCGAACTAAGAATGGTGATTTATTTTTAGATGGTTGAAGAAAATGAAATGAAATTTCGTATCACGTAAAAATTCTAGGCGATTCAAATTTGTATCCCCAAATAAAGTTTTATTGGGACACAGTCACCCCCATGTCTACACACAGCAGAGCATGCACTGTTCACCGTGTTGCCCTTGACAGGAAGTATGCGGCCGTTGTTCTCCAGCCTGTTCCTCTTGCTGGGCTGCAGCTTCACGAGCGCGAGCCCACGGGGTGGGGAGCCCGCCCGCCGCGTGGGACCCCACGGAGCCGAGAGAGGGTGCGGCACAAAGGGGCCGGAAGCCCCTTGAGCGAACTTTGGTGACCAGTCCCAGTGTAGCCTGGCAAGAAGATCGCTGACCCGGCGCTGCCGGAGCCACTCAGACGGTATCAAGCGGCCCAGCCCCGCGCCCACTTAAGCCTTGCCGCGCAAGCGTAAACCTGCGCGCGTCCGAAAGAGGTAAGGCGGGCGGGGGGAGGAGTCGCGCTCGTGGGCGGGGTGAGCTGCCCCCTAAACTCTGGAAGTTGCAGTTCCGCATCGCGGGTGAAGGTAAGAGATAGAGGTGCGTATTGGGAACCTCAGCCGCTCCGGATGCAGTGGCAGGACAGTCCCCTGGGCTGTCCTGTTATGATGATGCCACTGTACTGCAACCTGACAGCGACATCCTATCTAAAAAGAAAATTGCATGGAGGGCTGGAAACAAAGTACCTGGACTTATCCCTGAGCCTCTAGGGCCAAATGCCAGGATACATTTTCCTAGATTGAGATCTAATCCACATACTTAATATTCACCCTTCTAAAGTGTACAATTTGGTATTCTTAGCATATTGACATATTGGCATGGCCACTATCTAATTTAGCACATTTTCATCCCTCCAAGAAGCACCAATCCCCCTCACCCTATCCTAAAAGGTTAGTTGGGAACCAGTAACCTGTTTTTTGCCGATGTGGATTTCCCCATTCTAGACCCTTCGTATGAATGGAATTAGCATGCAGCCTTTGTGTCTGGCTTCTTGTACTTAGCATGTCTTCAAGATTCATCTCCGTTGTAGCATGATTCAGAATTTCATTATACACATATCTGGGGTTTTTTTTTAAGAGAGACAGTCTCACCTTGTTGCCCTTGGTAGGGTGCTGTGGCGTCACAGCTCACAGCAACCTCCAGCTCCTGGGCTTAGGTGATTCTCTTGCCTCAGCCTCCCGAGTAGCTGGGACTACAGGCACCCACCAGACCACTCAGTGATTTTTTTGTTGCAATTTTGGCTGAGGTCGGATTCGGAACTGCCACCCTCAGTATATGGGGCCAGCACCCTACCCACTGAGCACAGGCACTGCCTATATCTGGCTTTTTTCTATAGGCGTCCTGGTCAAGGTGATGTGGTATCTAACTGTGGTTTTGATTTCCATTTCCGTGTAGCTAATGACCCTGACTATTCTTTCAGGTGTCTAGTGGCCATTTGTATATCTCCTTTGGAGAGATGTCTATTCAAATTCTTTGCTTGCTTTTAAATTGGGATATTTGCCTTTTTATTGAATTGTAATAGTTTTTATTTTATTCTGA